TGCTATTTCAACGATGCTTAACGTTTCCTCTTCACCTTAATTGCCCATCAATATCCTGTTCTCCTTTTGAGAGATCATAAGACAAGTTCATTAAAATTTACTTATTCGAGAGAAGTTGTCAAGAGAGTTTGCCAAGGTCACGCACGTAAGCGCCACTGCACCAGCAAAGAAGTGTTTATACACCAAAAAAAAATTATCCTATTCAGACTTGAAGATTAGTATTAACGGCAACCTTTATTTTTGCACACCCTCATAATAGGGGTTTGCATTTAACATGTCAATTAAATATTTGCAAATAAAAATTGTGGTAGCATGAATTACAAGTAATCATCAATAAGATGTAAAGCTTCAGTTTCTCATTGGTTGATAGGGATTCAAAAGTTGTCCTTAGTTAGGAGTGCACAACGTTTCTTTAATTTTACAGTGATGGTTGGTTTTGCCCGACGCCAAAATGTCGAGGTCTACTTTGTTCGGTGGTTTTCTCAAGTTCGTTTATGGCTGATTTGGTCAAATGGGCATGCTGTCTTCAGACTCTTGCGAGCAGTAAGGTCCGCTTGAACCGTCCTCAAACGTGTAAAGTCGTATACGTAGCGGCAATCTGCGGCTGATTTTATCTTCCTAGCAAAAGATAAAAAGAGTCTTCTATTTCATCCATGTGAACTTTAGTCTTTCTTAACCAATGACAGAATCTCTGGTATTTTACTACAGTCCAACAGTGACACGAAAGGTTGATCAACGTTTTAGCAGTCCGTTCAGAGCGTGCATAACCCAAAATAGCTTTGTGCCGTCTAAAAAGATGTATTCAGAAGGCTGTTTGGATTGTGGCCAAACATGAAAAATTGCACGAAATTATTTAAACACTTACTTCTCGATCCAAAATTGTTTCCTGGGGCATCAGTGTATTTCTTGAACCGGACGAAAATGTTTCGTGGCAGACACCGGGTAATTAAAGAAAAGAAAGAAAAGATTCTATTTTTTCTCCGCGCCTGAAGGTTTTAAGCCACTTCTATTACATATTTTTCCTTATTCGTTTAATTCTGATCTTAACGAGCTATCTTAAACGCGGATAAAATCCGCTAGAAAGAGTCAGTCCTGTTCCTTTACTGTTAAGTGAATGATATCTTCGGACGTGAGTTCATCAAATACTCTGACCTCAGTAATTAATCAATATATGCATGGACTGATTGATTGATTTGATTATGGTGTGATTGCATGGCTCTCTTACTGTCATTGCAGGTGAGTGCATTTAATTGGGTATGCTTTGACATAGTCACAAGTTATGTGCCCTCGCGTTGTCAAAGCTTATAATAAAATGACGAGGCAACTCTCTAGAACCGAACACGAGATCCTCAAATAATTAATGGCGTCTGCTTTATGGCGGATAGGTGAAGAAAAGTTGTTTAAGTAATTTAGTTGTAACTCTTTTTTTTGTTTTAATTGTGCACGCTGATTGAATCGGCTTAACAATCTGTAGCCGTCTTTCTAACGTCACCAGATGACATTATATTTACTTTTTTTTGTTAGAGTAACTTTAGAGGAGCGATATCAATCTGAAGTTAAGGCGGGAGAACTACAAGGTAATGGAATATAGCATAATACTTTGCATTTCCAAGTTTAAAATAAACTAAACTCTCCTTGAATGGTACACTCAGATTTCTCGGGAGCGATGAAAAGGACCACCTGCTTTGTTTCCGATGTGGTAGCCTAATTAGATTACTCACCGTACATCTAGGCTTAAATCCTCTCTGATTAGCAGATATAAATTACACACTAGTTCAGTTGGTGGTATCAACTTAATTTCATTTGTATTGCTTTGCTAACTCGCTTAATTTCGGACGAGTTTCAAAAGCGAACGCCCCTACAACATTTCCGTGAAAAGTTAGAGATCCATAAGTAAATGATGACAGATGTCATTTTTTAAAATCAACGATAATTGATAAGACCATTAACCACTCCTGCTCATGCAATAACGTACTGCGTTAGAAGGACTATTCTTACATTGCAATATCAGAACTATTCATGCAACTGGCGAGGGGAAATAAATAATTTGTAAGCCAGTAAAGTATTTTGCAATGACTGTTACTATATATGAAATTGTTGGAGATATCTAATGATAAGTGGCCTGGTACAGTGACTTTTAAGGCTACACGAAACTGCGCCTTATTACAT